TGATGTCACCAGTAGGGAATTGTGCAATTTTACTGACTTTGAATTTCTTATTAATTAAGTGATCTCGAAAACGTTGGATTAAGGCCTCATATTGATTATTGCACATGTCATGCTAATATTTCAGTTACATACTAAGATTTCTACTTACGTGTGTGCATGACTTTACACTTTACTTTTTTTATTTCTTTTTCCTTCACAGCCTTCCTGTGCCTTTTGTTCGTTAGGGTTTTTTGTAATGATATTTTTTGTAAAGCTGTCTTGAAAGTTTGAGGAATTATTGCAGAAACACCTGAGATTCCCGAAGAGTTTAGAATAATCTAAAATTTCTGCACAACTTCAATTATAGGTAGATATGAAGCGAGAAACATGATCATAAATCTTCATAAATTCAATAATGGCTTCACGGCACTATACTTTTACTGAATGCTGGTCTCGACATATGTATCGATAAAGTTTCCTGAACTCATTCATTCTGAACCATGATAATGATGGTGAAGTGTTGCAAGGTAAAACATGATGACAATGGTATCCAAGGCTGTAATACTTGTACTCTTGAGCTTAGTGCATTTTTTACTCAAGTTTATAGCCATCTCGCAATTATTACAGCATATGAACCAAAACAATACGAGCCACTGTACTAAAATACAAAGAATCTATGTTGCTTTAAGATCCTTAAAACATCTCTCGAAATCGTTTTTACTTTTATTCATACTATATAAAGCAGTTACGTAGTTTCAAATAATTTAAGAAATATTATCAATAATATGTTTCTAATGAAATGTTCAGTTAAGTTGCGCAAACGGATTATGTGTTGGGTATTCAAGAATCTAAGAAACTCTATAATAATGTTAAAACGATAAGTTAGCTAGCCAATGATGGAAAATTAATAATTCAAATACAGTTGATTATAAAATAAAATAAAAAAATAATATACGTACGGTACCATTAATATACGTAGTTGTACCTCAAATGATCTGCTACATGAATCATACAAATTTATCTCAGTAATGTGTTTTAGCGCTTATAGTCTGAAAATATGAAAGTGATTAAATTCTTCATAGTGATGTAATCCGGTGCAACTTAGGGTGATATATATATATATATCTTCTTGCGACAGTTACGTTTTATGACTTTCATAGTTAGATTAATGATGACACATAACATAAAAAGTGGTGGCCAGAACTCGTTGTTTAACTTGTAAATGTTTTATGATTCGACACAATAATATTATTCCACATTTCTATAGATTTAAGTAATACTGCGACATAAAACAAAACAAAAATCCAAAAAACAAAGTTCATATAAGTTTATTTCGAAATATTATCTTTCACGTTGAAACAAATACAGAAAAATAGAACGGCACAACACAATTAGATATATTTATTTAATCTAATGCCTTTAGTGAAAATGGTTTTGTCTTAAACGATATGCTATTAAACATATTTCGGGTAAACAGTTTTCATTTAACTATCTGATATTCTTGTTTTGGCTATAATATTTTCTTATAGAATTGTCCTCAGAATTCAGTAAGATTTTTCAACCGCCATAGCAGTATTTTGTTCTAAGACTTATATTTGGTGATGTATGAAGCCAGCGTTTCAAAAAACTATAAGAAAACAAAAGTTAGCAATATTTGTGTTGCAACAAAGTATCGTCTTGATTTTGTACTGTTTTAGCAGAAAAAGTTCTCTATTATACTGTTTTCATGTATAAATGCCCATTGGTGACTTAGCGGCAGGTCTGAGGGCTTGTAACGCTAAAAATCAAGTTTTGATGCTCTTGGGGGCAAAGTCCATTCTGAGGCTTTGTGCTTAATAACAAAAAAATAAAAAAGAAATAATGCATAATAACAGTAAACGTAGCTTCCTATCTGATCTTATCTTTCTAAAATTAGGTTAAATAATTTGCTTTTAATTATTATTATAAATACCCACATTAGCGACAATAAAATATTTTTTAAGAACTTTACCCTAAAACGTTTGAAACTATTCATTATTAACAAGTGTCAGATACACACTATAAATACTAAACCCAAAAGAAGTTCTTATACAACATTAAAACAGTTAAAGTGTGAAAAGTTTCAGTAGGTCCTGAGTTATTTAAATTCTTGTTTCTTTTCGTAAAGTATAATTTGACCAGATAGTTTCTTAAAGAGAGAGTAATCACCTTTCGATATAGAAATAATGATTAGGCAGAAAAAAGACGCCATTTTATTACTTTGCTTTAATTATGTACTTTATTTTGCTCTTCTTAGTGTGTTAAAGTAAGTTGTCTCTCACTAGGTAACTAGTTTTCTTGGTTACATAGTTGTCTAAGATTCTTAATCATTTGATTACGTTCAATAACATTACTGGATAACTCTGTGGAAACGAAGGTAAACAAAGAATTGAAAGACTTTCAGGATATGCTGAAACATAAAATTCTAATAGAAATTATTTACTTCGAAGATATTATATGTTACTCAACAAAATAAGCAGTAAAACATTTCACATTATTTTGATGTTCTTTTAGCGTCATAACAACGAACTTTAATAATGTTTTGGTAGAAACTGTTTAATAATGACACATTATTATAGAATGTCTAAGAAGTTATGCTGTATTAGCCGTTTGGAAATAAAAAAGGGAGTCTTTTTATCTCATCTCAAGAGCTACAATCTCTCCAGAAGATTTTTATACTGACTACTTTGAACTATTATTTTTTTCTGAAACTTAATAAATTTAAAATAAGTATGAAATATGAGAAATTCTTTACTTATTACTCATTTTGTAAGATATGAAGAGCAGTAGATATTTTCAAAATGAATAATTGGTATTATATAATGTAAAGATCAACCAAATGTATAATTATATCAGTGGTCTTGCATATTTCAAAGATTCTTCGTTAATAAAGGTCTACATCTCATTTTGGCAACATGAACGTACAAGTTCGTCTGGTTGATTGAGAATCAAGATTTTAAACATTATTGTTTTTATAAGAAAAAAATATTAATTTGCACGTCCTAATAGCTATTTTCATAATTTGATTCAGGCCTTACATAGTTGATTTTACACATGAGAATAGAAATGTGATTCACACTGCATAAGGAAAAAAACGTTTACCTTCAGTTTGGAGAAATATCCAAATTTACAAGTATTTACCGACTTAAGTGAACAATGAAAGACACAAATACATCTTTTACGGAAACTATTATCTTTAGTTTTACTACCAAAGGGGGGGGGACTCTACTTGTTAGCAACGTAAAACAAATAGACATTTTTGATAGTACAATATAATATATATATATAAATTACGGCTTACTTACGTGACTTTAACATAGGGCCAGATTGTATGAATGCTTCTTCAGAATAGTTGGTGTGAATAAGAATTATCTGTATCCTTGCTTTCTATCGTTAGTTTTTCTTACGTAGAATGTAATTTTATCCGACATATTTATGGATCTGTAAACAAAATAATCTTGTATGTTTTCCGTGTTATATTTTGTTACAAGAGACTAACCATTTTAGATGAATTTTCGCTTTTCATAATCGTCATGCTATGGTCAATACTTACACTTTTCATATAAAGGGAAACTGGAAATGGAGTTCAAATGGTTTAATAGTAATGCTCTTAATAATACTTATTCAGCCTTTTAATGTAATTTTTTCTCATTTTCCGCCAATAATTTTTCAGGCAATTTTTCTTAGTCTTGGAAATGTAACATCATTGCAGAAATGATTGTTATGTTTGTTTTTTATTGATCTAGTTTACCTCACTTCTAAAATCAGAAATACTCTCCCAAGTGATGTTGTCAATCGTTGAGCGAAGTTGAAATATTATCGTTAAAAATTGCATATTTCATTCACTAAAAAACGTTGGTGGCAGCTGACGGTAAAGCTATATATTAACGTTGGTGGCAGCATGAACAACTGACGGTAAAGCTATATTTTTTAAACAAATTTAAAAAGCGCAAGAAAGATTAATGGTAAAAAAGTAAGTATTCATGTAACATGAGATAACAACATCAATGACAGAAATTATGTATAAATCATTATATAAATACGTTTCTGTGCAAATATCAGCGATTTTAGGGAAAGCTATCCGTCAATAGATGGCACTAAAGGTATCCTGGAAACTTTCTTTGAGAAACAAAATATACTTGGAATTCTATACGGACAAATTTTTCCGACTTGATGCTAAAACTACAATGGATTTGTAATCTATATTTTAGAAGAATCTCTATGTACGAAAAGCATGGTAAGAAGTTATTTAGCGTCATAAGCCTGCGGAAATACCGCTGAACCACTAGTGGGTTTTCATAACTATTCAGGTAGATTCTAAGGATTAAATTTCTAAAGGATTGCTCCTGCATTTTTTCTTGAATGAAATGAAGATTCAGTATTTTTGTTCAGGCTGCTGGAGGCCTCAACATGATTAACTGAGTCAAGGCAAGTGTAGCTTAAACTATCATGACACGAAAATTGCTACTGTGTGTTGATATTCAAGATTTTTAGGAACCAAGCTGTAAAATAATCGTAGAGATTTATAACAATTTTTAATAAATTCGCTTGTATGAACTTCGCATTGAGTGCTGCCTTTTCTTTCAAGCTATAGACATCTGTAAAAATCGTTTGTTGGAAACGTTTATCATTTTTTATACTTCACAAATTACCTATTAGAATGTCACATTTTAGTAGGAAAGAATAAATTCTCAAAGCTGCAGTAAGTTTATGAGTTCAGTATATTGTTAAAACGATTCCTGGAGTTAAATGCTACTTTAAAGTGATACTTCACAATTTTAATTGAAACATTTTTCCCCTTGATGTTGGGTTTGATTATCATAATTAAACTTCTGAATGAAACAAGTGAATTACCTTCTTTCTTTTTTTCATTTTTGCTACAGCTTTATTTATATAACTTATTATTATAAGGCTCGTGGTTATAGTCAACAGATGGCACTGCTCTCCAAACTGCTTAACTAAACTCGGGGTGTTTAGAATGCATTCGTCACGAGTCACCAGCATTCTGAACAGACAGTAGTAGGAGTGGAATGCGTGCAGTTGTGGAGTAACCATGGGGTGGATACCTTCTATATTGTTGCTGTTTGCGCTGGCCATTGGCTCAAATAATAACGGTAAGTCAAATCAGTTTTTTCTCTCATTTTCCATGTAAACATATTTTTTATTCATAAATATTTGTACCGGCTACTGTTTTACAACTGGAATAAATGGATTTCGGTTTAAATATGTAGATATATGTATATAAATACTTTATATATGTTTAAATACTTTATGACCAGAGTCAAGCAATCCTAACGGCTATGGCTGACTTCCAAAAGAAGGTCGTAAAAAGCGCTAAATATTTCTTTCATGTTAATTTTTATAATGAGCCAGAAAAATCTTAAAACAGAATTAACAATACGTAGTAATCTGGATGAATTATTTGATGTACATCTACTGTCCTACCAGGCATTATAGAAAACAAGATAAACACATTGTAATCAGAATTTAGGAAAATAAAGACAACTGAACTTTGGTACTTGGGCACTACAAACACACATCTTCTTTGTTTTTTCACGTATAAAATTGATCAAAGTCGCAATAAATGGTTCAACAATAGCTCGATTTTGACTCCAGCCTCTCACAAGTACTTATAGAATTGGAAGAGCTCGAAATTATAGATATCAGTCTCACATAATAATCTAGTCAGGCATAGCTCAAAATCTGGAAAACAGGCAAGATACACACACACACAAAATTGTTGTTTATGAAGTTAAGCATAAAGCTACACAATGGGCTATCTGTGCTCTGCCAACCACGGGTATTGAAACCCGCATTCTAGGGTTGTAAATCCGCAGACATACCGCTGTGCTACTGGGGGGCACACACACAAAATAAGGGTGTAAAAGAAGAACGAAAAGCACAAATTGTAGTACTTTATGTGCTCAACATTAATCATAGTCACAAAGTTAATTACAACTGATTCGTTTGTCATTTGAACTTAATTATAGCGTTTAGTCAAATATATTAATACTGTGTACATTAAAAATTGAAAGACAATTAACAAATTAACTTTTTATTAATAGTAATCACCCATGTAAGAATTATTCAATGTGATACGGTGATTCATTACGTTATATTAAAACGATTTTGAACGCTTCTCGTCGTTGTTACATCAATGTTGCCACGTCTGGTCATGCACGATTTTACGGCCGTGCATTTTGATAATAGCCCTGCAGCGTAGTTTCTCTAACAAAACTCTCCATTGTCAGCTGCCATCACACTACCTACGCGAAGCCAAGTAACATCAAAATGTAATTCTTATACATTCTGTTCTACCGCAACTTTACATCGGCTATGATTGTTACGTGACTTGTTGATTTGCTTATTCAAAGTCACTTTAACCCTCTGTGGTATTCGTGTTCCTGCTTAAGAATTGGTTACCGTTATCTTCGAGTTGCAAAACCAGGAGTTATTAATAATATTCATTATTTGACTGTGAAGAACTCTAGTATAAGGTTTTATCAGTAGTATTGTAATAACTTTATAGTACTGAAAATATTGTTACTTCTACCTAAGTTTCTGATGTTGATTTTACCTTGTGCTTATAAAACAACCTTACTATAAACTTGATACAGTAACTTTCCATTATTACAACTAGGTTCTTTTTTGCGACAACTTTAATCCAGAAGAGGAAGACTGAGGTTTACAAAAGTTAATGTAACACTGAACAACAATAAGGAATGATGTATCATTTATTTTCAAAAAATCCCATGAAACAATTATCTATTCAGTAGAGATATACTATACATTACCTTTATTGAGAACGCTGTGATTTATAATTTAATTTTCAAAACACTACACAGAGCTGAATTCAGCTCGTCGTGGCAGTAAGCTCATTCATAATAAAAAAAAATCACCTAATTATTAACTTAATCGAGTCTGCTATGATCCATAGAAGCTTATGCTTTGCGTTTTCGATTTTACTCCAAGTTTATTAATAAAAGTAATAGGTTTTTTAAAGCATACATACAGATGATGGAATACGTTATATTATAACAATTTAATATGAGCAGGTAACGTGACAAGAACAGCTCATAAAAAGTCGCAGTGAAACGAAATATAACTACACTTTGCATTATTTAGCCTCACGTAGGTGATGTGATACTATCGGAAAGAATATTCGTTTTTGAGATGGATTTGTAACATCGCTTTCTGACGGAAAATGTTCACAAACTGATATCATATAGAAATGCCTTCAGATAGGGGACTTAAAATTTCCAAGGACGGAATATCCCTTGTATTTAATGATATTTAAAAACAAAGGAATATAAAACAACTTGGGGTACAAGGACCATCCAGAAAGGGACCTACAACAAGTGGATCCTCAGATGTGATAAGTAAAATGTGGCGCCTTGTGAAAGATAGAAATCAATGAATATAAGGTTCTGTGGGAAAAGACGTTCTACAGGCGATAGTGTGCAACATGAATAAGGAACTCAGTCTGGAAACCGGGCCAACATGGTATGGGCTCACCAAAATAAGGCTTCCAGTCATACCTTCCATTCAGTCATCGTATATATCAAAGAGCTGTAGAATGAACCGGGTATTCAATATTCTTGTTATTTCATACAAAGGAAAAGTAGTTAAGTGGTCGGATGCAGCGCCATTAGATTTATGTGTAATTGAACAATTTAAATGTTTCCTGGGAAACCATCGTCCTTGTAAAGAAGATGGATTATGGAATGCAAGCAGGGAAGAGTGGAGTTTTTTATACACGACAATCTCACAACGAAACTTTTTGCAACGAACACTGCGCTATAAGTCTATTTTGAAGATGAATGGTCGTTCAGATAAAGCATGACTGGACGTGCTGAGGCTCCAAAACCAATTTACATATAGTGTAATCAAGCCTCTCTCTCTCTACACACACACACACACACACATATATATATATACAAAAATACAAGTTAACGTTTCTTGAACTCGTAAAAAATAACTTCGACTGATTGATATATATACAAACAAAATAATATTATTAATTTTATGTTATTCTTTATTAATTTTAGTTTTAATTCCATTAGAATCAGCTAAAAAATTACTCTAGGTTCAGGTATCAATGCTATCTACCCTTTTCTTTCGTAATCTAGTTGAACTACACAAATTATATTTTGTATTATAACAATTAGTGAGTGATATTTTTAAACAAATATACAAATGTATGAAATATGAATAATAATAATAAATATATAATGAATATATTTGGTATAAAACATAGATATTATGTCCTACAATATGAAGATGATAAGCACTAGAGTGCAGTTACATGTTGATAATTTATACTGTGATTGATGCCATCCAACCAATAAGATAGCGTTGAACCAGTATAATGCTTATGTGAGTGATGAATACATTAAAGGCCTTCCCGGGACAAAAATGTCACATGACAAACGTGTAGAAACCAAAGTTTTGTCTGGTGATGGCTACTTCATGCAACACATTGAGGCGAAAATTGATGTCTCAGTAGGAACTATATGGAACTTCTGAAACTTCTGTTATTCAAAATAGAAGCAATCGAGATAGAAAGCTTAAACTTTTCACTTAAGCGATGCTATATAATTCAGGGTATGCTTTGTACTTGATAAACTACATTCCAGTAAAGATATTGTCAGTGGCTTAGCTGTAACTAGCTGTATGAATATTACCTTCAGAATAGTATGTCTGCGGACTTACAACGTTAGAAACTGGGTTTTGATACCCGTGGGGGGAGAGCACAGATAGCTCGTTGTGTAGCCTTGTGTTTAACTTCAAACAAACAGAATAGTAAGATTCACATTAGTGCGAAGTGGCCTCAAAGAATGTGTAGCTGCTAAAAACCTCTACCAAAAGAGATAGCTAAACCCAAAGTTTGAAATGGGCAACAGAATCTCAATCAATTTGATGAGCAAAGCTGGATGAGGATTCTCTTTTCAGATGAATCCAATACACATTGTTTGGCAACAATCAACAATATCTTGTTCAAGGAGGGGAGTGATATCATGGCCAATGTATAATATCTACAGCAAAAGATGCTGAGGGACCAATACGGTTGTGGGCGTTTCTCATCTAATGGAGTTGGCAATCTACACAGAATTAATGATACATTGACTGCTGACAGGTAGAAGCTAATTATTAACTATAGTGTCTTTTCTTCAGAAACAAAACATGTTGAACAGGGATCCATCTTCCAACAAACAAATAATTCCAAGAATACAGAAAATGTGGGGAAACAATACCTGAAGGAAAAATAGGTCGATGGAATACTCACAACCGTGGCCTGATTGGCACACATTCTTAATAATAATAATACGGTTTAATGGGCTTATATGGAAATTGAGAAAGTCAAATGACAACGTAACAGCTTTGCTGGAGCTATGAGAAGTAATAAATGACAATATTTCACAATCATGCACTGCTTTGTTTGAGAGCGAATACAAAATACTAATGCACTGTAAACTTATTCGCCTTTTTTATATTCTCTGTTATAGTGTATTGCTATAATAAAAAGTGACCATTTAGTTGCATTTGTTTATTGTTTGTGGCTCATATATGTGTATCACCCATGTATTTCTATAATTATATACAATACTTTGTATATATTTGGGGTTTAGATGGGCATTTGTTACTAGCTTCTCTATGCAGGGCAATGTTATGAACTTTCACTGAATAATTTGATGACATTCAAAAGTTCTTGGCCCACGTAACATATGTGATGAAGATCAGACTTATCATAATTTTCATAACTCATTTATAAGAATTATATAACCTTCCTGTGCATTTATTAATTTAGCGTTATATATATATCTTACGGGTCCATTGATTAATAAAAGTAGTCACCATTTTGTTCTTTGAGTCTAAAATGCGCTGAAGTATTTTTTCTTTTATTACTCTTAATATCATTCCATCTACTGCTCATTTAAAAGCTTCAATTTTAATTAAGGATCTTTCTTAATTAAATGTATACAAATTATGATTGAAGTCATTTTTTTCTTATCTCACAACATATATTTAATGTACGTTAAACAATCTCAAAACTTTAACAGCATTTTACGACTTTACATTTGGCGCTAATTGTTTCTGTTGAAAATAACCTTCA